CTTACTGGAGAGGACAGTAAAAGAGATACAGCAGAGGCTCAAGTTAATAAAATCAGATATTGAATTATATTCAACACAGAGAGAAGGTTTATTAGCTTGGATATAGTGTTGTGCAATGGTTCTTCTGACATGGAATTGGTTTACACTGAGAAAATCTAGGTTCTTATGGGCATTGTGCAGGTCTGTGTGACTGTGCTTATGTCTGGCCTCATCTTCAAGAAGCTCCAGTAAGGATTTGGGTAAAAAATACAGATGAAAGCCTACAGAAGTGTTTAGGTGGATGCTATTGGAGAAATATTCTTGCAAACAGACCAAGAGAAGCCTAAGGATCCAGGCCAAAGCTGGTATCTCTAGATCCTCCACTGCAGCTGTGTATTGCCATTTGGATAACATACCAGTGTCCCTGAGTGCAAACATGCCTGTCCTCCAAAGCACTTATCTCTTGTATTGAACAACTCATACCTGGTACTTTCATCTCTTGTATTGAACTACTTGTACCTGGTGCTTCTGTTCAAGACAATGGTACTTTAGAATACGATGAACTGAAACTTTGTGGTTATAGCAGTCTATGGCCATGCTAAGTATTTTGCACTTTGGTTTAAATTGCCAAGTTTCCCATGACTCAGTCCATTCAAGCTTTGGCAGTTCCAGGGTGAACAAGCATGGTTGCACATGCACATGTTTTCTTTGAGATATTATTAATAAGAATGTAGAGGATTTGTTGCAGCTTTCCTGTTTGATTGATAAACAAGTTTGTTCTGGCCATACATTTGGATTCCAGACAACTTTTTTGTTTGCAGAAATGATCTCTCAGTTTCCACTTAGGCAGTCATTTGACATTACTTTCCTATACCTACTGCTATTTGTCATTGTATAAAAATCACTGTTTTTACTTTCTAAAATATAACACAGTGCTTTACACCCATTCTATGAACCTAATGAGATTCATAAAATCTTGGAGCAGGTGCTGAAATTGCTGGTGAATTCATTGGGGTTGAACATGTACGCACCCACAGACACCCCCATCAGCCTTTCTTGTGACAGGCCTGGCCCAGGAAGTGTTTGAAAGCACAAGTTTAGAATTCCTTGCAAAACCTCACCATCCCCTTGATAAAGCTCCTCTGGTAGCCCTGAGCCATGGTCAGCATGAAGAAAACCTGGTGCCTGTCCACTGGCAGAGTACAAGAGCCAGCTGAACTTGCATGTGCTGAGATACTGCAGAAAAACTGGGTGATGAGGTGTGACATGCACTTCACTGACATGGCCAGGCTGTGTCTTAGCTCTTCCCCAGTCTAGGCCCACAGATTTTCTCTCTGGAGAGTTAGGGCACAAGGTTAGAGAATGAAAAACATCTGGGTTTCATCACAGACATAAGCCATGACTCTGGAGTGCATGCCTTGGTTTGGAAAATGCAGAAGTGGTCCTGGGTTCCAACATTACTACAGCTCTGTGTTGCCTGCAACAACAATTACCAAAAACTTGCCTGGATTTTAAAAGTAATTTTCCAGGAAAATGCTGATGCCTTGCTCTCATAATATGACCTTGCCTCAGAGTAAAAAATGTGACATTCAGAAATATGGATAAAAAAGGGTCACTAGATAACAATGCTTCAGGGCTTGTCTGTATTTTAAGCACATTTGTCTTGGGGTGTTCTCTGACAACCAGGCAATTGTTGAGGAACTTAAAATTTAGCCTGAAATATTGAGGGAGGTAATAGGGCACCTATTCCCTCTTAGTTAATCCCAAAGGGCAGCCTCTGTTCTGGTCCCCTGGGATAACTATGAGCACAGCAGAGATGTAACCAGGGCATTATAGACATCACCTGAGGGTAATTTAGCTTGATTGTAACAAAAGCAATGTGATTATCTTAGAGCTGTACTGCTACATACACAGGGAAGAACTAGACATATTTTAAAATTAAACAGTACAATGTTAAAGAAAGATGTATGACATTTAAAAATTTACTTTAAAATAAATCTCTCAAATTTTCCATACTCCAAAGTTTATTAAAGAAAATTGAATTGTGCTGGAGTCTGTGTCCTGGTAAATCCAGGACAGTAAATCCAATGTTAGCAACACAGACTGAAGCTGATAATCAGGTTGATTTTTTTTTCATTGTTTTTCTATACCAGACAATCATGTTCTGCACTGATTGTGCAGAACGTGCACTGATCAGGCATCACTTTAAAACTGCCCACATGGCTGTTTCCCTCTTTGTTCTGGAAAGCAGCAGACATCACCTTCTAATTTCTACTTTCCAGTGCTGAGGAGTTTAATTGTCATTGTTCTGGAACCAAATGTAGTCTCTTCACTTAGAGTAGCCACCTATTCCCTTCGTGATCTGCAGTGCTCCTCAGAGACACTCTCTTCCTCCTGCTGCCCTTCTCTACACCTTCTCAAGTCTGTTTCATCCACAAAAAGTATAAAAGACCCAAACTGTGCCAAGTTCCCTTGGGCTTGTGTGACCAGGTTTTGGTAGCAAGGAGCTCCAGGAGAGCCTTGTGTGAGAAGCTGCCAGAGGCTTCCCCTGTGTCTGACAGAGCCAGTGCCAGCTGGCTGCAGGTTGGACCCACTGCTGACCCCATCAGGGATGGTGGCAGAGCCTCTGGGATAACAGATTGGAGAAGGGTGGGAAAGGGGAGGAAGGAGAATGGCTGTGGAAACAGCAGCCAAAGAGAAGAGTGAGAACACGAGAGTGAAACAGCTCTGCAGACACCAAGGTCAGTGAAGATGGAGGGGGAGGAGGTGCTCCAGGTGCCAGAGCAGATTCCCCTGCAACACATGGAGGTCCCTGGTGGAGCTGGTATTTGCCTTCTGCCCCTGCAGAATCAATCCCATGCCAAAGACATGGTGCCCAAAGGAGTCTGTGACCCTGTGGGAGCCTGTGCTGGAGCAGGCTCCTGGCAGGGCCTGTGCAGAGGGGAGCCCACACTGGAGCAGGCTTGCTGGCAGGACATGGGAGACTCACTGGAGCAGCCTCTTCCTGAAGGGATGCACTCCATATGAAGGATTCCACACAGGAGCAGGGTTTGAGGAACTCCAGCCTGCGGGGGACACTCCAATTGGAGCAGTTCATGGAGGACTGTCTCCCATGGCATTCCCTCCAATGCTGCAGCAGGGAAAGAGTGTGAGGAGCTCTCCTGCTGAGGAGGAAGGAGCAACAGACACAATGTGTGATGAGCTGACCACAGCCCCCATTTCCTTTCTCCCTGCATCACTGGAGGGGAAGCAGGTAGAGAATTCGAGAGTGAAGTTAAGCCCAAAAAGAAAGGAGAGTTGGGGAAAAGATGGTTTTAAAATGTTTTGTTTCTCATCATTCACTCTGATTTGATTTGTAATAAATTTCTTTTCCCCAAGTCAAGACTCTTCTGCTGTCACAGTAATTGCTGAGAGATTTATCTCTTCTCCTTGTCTACCCTCACAAACCTTGAGGAATGTTTCTTCTCCCCTGTCCAACTGCAGAGGGAGGGGAGTGATAGAGGGGCTTTTGTGGGCACCTGGTGTCCAGCCAGGGTCAGCCCACCACCAGAGTATCACTGTACTTATATTCAGGCATTGGTGGCTGGTGACAGACACTAGGAAAATTACAATTTGTATCTGATATAACTTCTATTCTGACTATTTATAGCAATCACATTTATTTCTTACTATTTTTCTGAAGTGAAAATTGTCAGTGTCAGGTTTGGCTGTACTGTATTTACTGCAGAAGAAATAAATAATTCAGTTGGCATTTCTAAAAATATAATTAGTTGATGAGTCAGAGAAGAATTTAATTTTCCTAAATGTTAAGGCTGGAAGACTAGGATTATCATGATCAGTGTGTCTGACCTGTGACTCTCTCATGTCTTAGGAGGCTGCCTGGTAATTCCTGCATCAATTTGTAATTAAGATGCATGATTCTTCAGAGGAGACTGAATAAAGGGCCCAAACTACATTCTTGAGATGTGCTGAATGTAATTTCACACAAACAAAAGGTACCCCACAGACAAGCCTGAATATTGTGATTCATCATTTTAATTTAAAAATTTAAGACCATTAACATTTACTTATCTCTGATATCTCAGTGCAAATTTTTAGAACATCATACATAACTGTGAACCATTATGTTTTGTGTGTGTATATATATATTTATGTATATAAGGCAATGAAGCATATTCTATTTATGGGAATCTAAGCCTTACCAAGAACCTGTGTCAGCCACGGGAGATGTGTAAATAGAAAAGGAAGCTGCGGGGATAAAATGAAAAAACATAAACTAATCAAACTCTAGACTGCAATAAAAGCTGCCATGAAAGAAGAAAATTAAAACCAAAAATTAACACCACATACAGCAAAAGATCAATATTTTATCGACTGACAACACACTGCTGTGTAGTCATTGGTCAGTCATTATCCATATTGATTTTGTGCCACTGCACTTTGGCTCTGGCTTAGCCATGCACACATATTCTTCCTTTTTTCCCACTTTTCTACCTAAAATAATGGCTGTCTTCAATATGAATAAAGGTCACTCAAGTCATCCAAATAACTCTATGCACTCCAGGTCCGAGTCTGAAGAAGAATGACATAAGGACACCTGAGATGAAGACTCAGACTCTGCTGGACAGGGCAGAACCTGCCATTCCAACATCACTGCTCCATCCACAATGGCCCAGTACAGGAACCAGGCCACTGCAACACTCACTGTGGAAGAAGGGGGCAGATAGATGTTTGTAACTCAGTTCTGGATGACCTCTAACAGTAGACATTTGAGTGCTAGAGCTCAGCAAGCGGATATAAAGGCTGGCTACTTGGAAACTGAGGCCCTGTACTGCAAGCAAAAGCTGCCTGGCTTACAATGACAATTACTAATTCTTGACATACTGCTAAAAAGCACATGTGGCTAATGGCGAAATGAATCAGGAATTGGTTCTGGAGAGTGGATAGCCTGCTGTCCACATGCAGGAATTTACAAGCAGAGGAATGAACTGTGAATCAAGGACCAAGCAGGTAAGGTCCTTAACAGGGCTTCAATTGCTGGCAAAGCAGTTTTGAATGAAGGAAGGTACGAGGTTAAATAGACCACTATGAGTTGGCTCTTCAGTCAACTAATAAAAAAGTATATTTTAGGCCTGTATTGAAGGTATAGCAAAAATAGAGGAAACAAAGTCTTAAGGCATATTCGTTATGGGAAAATGTACATCAGCACTATTCAATCTTGGGCATTCCTTACCTCTCACAGTAGCTGAAAATATGGGTTTATTTATGTTTTAGAGCAGCTATGCCTAAAGATTTAAGTACAGTTACCCAGTTTTGGGAAAGGGCCTGTGCTTTAGTGTTTTGAGTGAGTTCTTTGGGTAGCAATCCCAGTAAGGGAAGGAAAGTGACCTTTTTTGTATTGAATTGGCCCATGGAATGGGCCTTTCTGACTGCATTCCTCAATGTGAAAGCATCTCCTACTCACAATTTTTGCCTGCTTTGTCAGCATCTTTTTTGCCCAAAGTATGGAAGAATATAATATTTACAAGGTGTTCTCTTCAATGTTATGATCCAAGAGAAAAATGCTTGTTCCCAGCTTTCTGTAGGAAGATCTGCATCTGTGAGTCAGTGCTAATGCCTCATCATTATTCATATGCCAAACAGACATTTCACAATCCTTTTTGATTCAGAGGTGATAAAAGATAAATTTTTAGGCTTCTAACAGCAGAGTGCAGTGTGTTACAAGGAAAACATACTGGAGTTAGGCTTAAAATATATACAAATCTTTTTCTGCATTGTTTTATTAGCCAGTATGGGGCAGTTGTTTAATTTTTGTTTATAAGAAATTGAGAATTATGAATATGTTAAACTGCTGTTGGAAAGTTACTTGAATGATGAAATAACTCTACTACCTTTTATCTGGTTTCCTTACAGCAGACCAATGAACTACCTTGCTACAGAGTGAGAATACTGCAGCTGTACATCTTTCCACAGAACTATGAAGCAGAGCCACATTTGTGGCAAAGGATGTCATCCTGCTGAGTGAGGAATTCCTGGCCCACCAGGGAAACAGAGCATTTTGTGCAGCTAAAGCATTCCCCGTGCCACTGGCGCTCCTCAAATGAGATGTATTTGGCACCTCCAAGAGCTGAAAGAGAGTATGAAAAAAAAAAAAAAAAAGATCTGAATCCAGTATTTCTGGTTCAGTAATGCAACAGATGACTTTCTGATGTGTGATCAGGTTGTCATTCATACAGTGAACAGAAAAATGAACAAAAATCCATAGTGTGAAATATACTTATTGGCTGAAATGAAAAATATCTTTAAAATTTAAACAGTGGGAAATATTTCAAGCAAAGCCACAAGTCACTTGCTTGCATATCCCATTACGAGATCTGAACACAGTGGGTTTATCAGAATGTCCATTCAGGTTTGCTGATCTTCCCAACAAACTCTCATGGAAATTATTTGCCATATTTGTATGGTTTCTGTACAACTCTGAATGAAATTTAATAATTAAGTTTCTTTCAGATGGATTCTTTTGGAAATTTCCAGATAATGGGAGTCCTTGCAGAATTATCTGAAATAAAATCTCGAAGACTGGGGGAATTTTAACAGTTTTGATGCTTTTTTGTTGCTGTTGTTTTGTAGTTTGTGTATTTTTTAAGTCATGCACATGGGATTGGGTATTCATTGATTTCTTTGTCCAATGACATGTGCAGCATGCACCTGTAAGAATCAGGAATTACTTTTCAACAGCTGACTCCACACATAATAGGATTAAAGTGCAGAACACCAGCAAATGCTCTCAGAAAACTCCAGCTATCATAGGCCAGTGACACACATGTCTAAATGTAAATCATATATAAGTATACAAGGATTCATGAGACAGAGCTCTGCTGCATTTGGCAAGCTTTCTAATTTGACAGGTGTGCCTTACCAGCAGGCAGTTAATCTGTGTTCAGTTTGATCACATTAGCATTTAAAAACAAAACTGAAGAAATCACAGGGGCTTGTGTGTACTGAACTGGGAAGAGCAAAAAAAGCACCTTTTAAAATATTCTTAAGGAGGAATTTTCTACAGAAAACACTACATCAAACAATGCCTTTGGGCACATAAAACCATTCCTCATCTGTTAGAGAACATGTGTGATCAGTATGTCCTAGCAAGACACAGAGAGAGTCTCTCTGATAGTTAACTCCTTCAGTGCTCATTATGATGGGAATAATTTTAATGTTTTTTTTCCTAAAGTGAAAGTCTTCTTTGAGAGGAGACAGATGATTCATTTGTGTCTGGTCCCCTCTAGAAGACGAGACTCACCTGCAATAGGTTTCTTGCAAGCAGCACACTTCTTGGCATGAAATTTGCTGAAACAGTCTACACAGTATGGGTACTCATCTTTGGAAATGAATCTTTGTCCAGACAGCTGAGTGTTACACACAGCACACACAAAGCATTCTTTATGCCAAGGCTGGTCATGGTAGGCCACTCCTCCAGAAGTTATAACCTAATGCATTGACAAACAGGGGCAGAGCAAAGAAACAAAGGTGTGAATCATGAAGGATTGTCCAGTCCTTCATGGGTACTTCCACTTGTTTTCTGTCTTCCAACATGCACAAGAGAAGAAAGTGTGGTCACATCAACTTTTTTACATCTGGATTATCCATTTAACTAATCTGCAGTTGAATTCCATACGCTACTGGTTTGTTATTTTCAATTTTCTATCACAATACAACCTCATAATTTGTAATAAGTGTGTTATCTTTAAATGAAATTTTTCTATTACACTGTAGCTAAGTGTTTAGAATCAGGCATGCTCTCAGAAGAGAAATTCTCAGTGATAGGCGGTGGGTGAGAGAACTGATGCTGAGATAATAGTTAATCTCCAACCAGTATTTTGCTGTCTCTCAAGCGCAACAATATTTTAAATAGGAAGACAGTAAAGAAACAGAAGTAAAACAGAAAGGTGAGCTACACAGTCAGCAGAAGAAAAAAAATCAGTGTCATCAGTGTTTATCAGTGTCATCAACTTTTTGCCAGCAATACACTCACAGCTCTGCACTGGTTATTTCTGAAGAGGGAAATTTCCAATTGTTCTGTGGCTCCCATATGTGTGGCAAGGAGCTGGTTTCACAGAATTTGTGAGAGACTGTGCAGAGAAATTTCTATAAAGATGAGCTGTAAGATAGTGCTTCTACTATCAAGTCACATGCATGACAGGGAATTAATGAATGAGTGAATGAATGAATGAATATTGTTGGAACAAGAGGAGAAAAAGTTGAAGAAACTTAGATAAAAAATAGTGGTTACATCAAATTTCCCTGGGGAATACAGCTTGAGGAAAATCAATAATAATATGCGGTCATGTCAAGCAATAAAGAGATTTAAATAGTTTCCAATGCCTTTCACATTCCAGTTTTGGGCTATTTTGTGGTTACATTTGCTTTTCCATTAAGATCTAAAAACTGCTGACAAAAATTCAAGATTCAGTTTGGCAATTTAATATATTTGGGCTCAATTCTCATGTATGGGAATTGATGCAATTTTAAGAAATAAAATGGTTTTAGCTATTATGTAGGGGGACTATTTGCATTCCTGGAATTTTTAAGACGCAAATCCTGATTATTTCATGTAGGTGGTGCTAATATCAATGCCTGTAATAAACATTGAGCATAATTACTATAATTGCCATGTGTTCATTTAATGGAAGTTAAAGGCTAGATGTAGAGACTTGGGAATATATAAAAGTACTTTCTAAAGTTGAGCTACTGAAGAAAAAAGTAGGCAGCATGTTTCCCTGAAATTAAAAGCTTTTGTTAGAGGTAGAGATTTACAGGTAATAATTACATAACTACAGGAAATTATAAGTTATTTGATGAAGTGGAAAAAAAAAAAAAGCTTCCAGAGTGATGCAGGTACTAAAGAATAAGTAACATTCTGCCCTAAAAAACAGCTTAAAACATTTCCCTAGAGGAAAGTATCACACTAGAATAGTGTGATGCTTTGAGTATTTTCATCAACAAGAGACAATCTTAAAACATGAGAAATCAAGGGAGGGAAGAATTGATTTATCAGTGCTTGGGGGAAAAAAGAAATCAAATCAAGCTTTCTGGTACCCACAAGGGTATCATCACATGTTGCATCAGTGGGACTCCTGACTGGTGTTATCACAATTGAATGTTACTTGATCTGCTAATTGCCTGATACATTTCAAGAAAAAATAGCCAAGATTGTGGATGATTTTCTCAGTTCAGGTGGCTAATTATGCATATGAATACATCTGAAAAACGATGGAAAGAGAGACATGTTTACAAAGGCAAAATCAGGAAAGAAGGGTTTTGCATAACTTTCCATTTAACCTTTGCTAAAAATCACAATCAATAACTAAAGAAGTCCAAAGCATTTGTTTGCAAATAAGATTATTTCAGATATAATCAGTCTTAGATTAACAAGAGTGGACAGCAGACAGTGTCACAGTCGCCTTTCAGTGTCCAGTGTCATTGGGAAGATCCTGATCTTCCTCTTAGTTCACCACACATTTCACATGATCCAGCCCTTTCTCCCATGAGCAATATTGGCTCACTAGGGCATTATTTGCATTGTGTGTTTAATTACCTTTTTGCAAGCATAGCAATGGTGAGCAAATTGCTTCTCAAAACAGGGCACACAGTAATTCTCATTGTCTTTGGTGATTAATGGTTTTGTTCCCAATGGTTGCTGACAATACTGGCAAACAAAACAGGATTCATGCCAGGAGCTTCCCTTAAATTCCATTTTACGTGAACCTGAAAAAAAACCAAAATGGACAATCCTCTCAGATACAGCCTTGTAATATAGGTTTTGAATGTTGGGAATGCTCTTGGGTTTGAACTTTCTAGCTCAGCATCAGATAACCCAAGAAAACATCTTCAATTTAATAGAGCTTGTAAGAATGCACTTGAAATTTCAAGAACACATTCAGTGCCATATATTCATCTGGCAAAAGATGTGCTGAATTGCCTAAGCTGTGATTTTTAGAGTCTGTTCTTATATGAATCTTTTGGGGCTTTTTTGTGATTATGTTTGAATTGATCAGTTTCTCTCAAACCAGCCAACTCAGTGATAATATTAATGTATACAGCAATTTTATAAATTAAAAATAATTTGTTGGATGTTTAGTACATTTATTATTGTCCTGTCTTCTATCTTTTTTAAACTAAGGCTCCTTCACTTATAAATGCATTATTTATCTTAATCAGTTTAAATTGACAACTTTCTAAAAGTAAATATTTTTTCTGTGATACAGCACATTACACTGCCTTCTCCTATAGCACACCCTTTCTGTCCTAGACCATCAATTCTTTTCATTATATTTAACTACATGCTTTTGATACAGCACAAGGACAGAAAGTTGCTCAGTTAAATGTTTGTCAGAGGAGTCTCAGAGCTTTTATCTCTGTGTACAGGTGTCCAATCTTGATATAGAAACATAAGTGTAAGATATGCACATATATCTGGGAGCAGCTTTTCCAGTGGATCTCCACCCTCAGCTTCCTATCTGTAGGTAGATAAGACTGCACAGAGAGGTGCAAGGTGCTTTTCCATCCTTTCCACATGAGGAAGAGGATTGCTGCTATATCTGATTAATCTCACTGTGCCTGTTTCCCTAAATGTGGGGCCAGTGGAGAAACTACTGGTTGTATTTAGACACAAGAGGTTTGCAGCTTCATCCCAGTGATCAGAAGGCCAATTTCACTGTCTTTCACCACTAGGTCTTTTCAATACAGAGCTAGCAAGCTGATGAGAAGGAAGTCAATGATATAGAGACTGGCTGGCATTCCCATGCCTCTGTTGCAGTGTTTCTCACACCTTTGGGCACTTGCTGCAAGGATTTACACTCTGTGACAAAACAAGCAGCATGGATTTATACCAGAAGTTAATGATGCAAACCTGAGTGTATTCTGGCATTTTTTACTAAATCTAGTGAGGTGTGCCTATTTGACAATATTTTTGTAAACTATGTACAATTTAGGCAGTTTATAATCCGTTAAATGAACATAACTGTATTTTTACAATATTTTTTTCCATTAATGCAGATTTTTACTTGTAATAAAAAGGAAACAAGCTGTAAAAATACAAATTAGTGTTACAGGTTGAATACAACCTGAGTAATCTAGTACCAATAGTAAGACTATAATTTTGCAGAGCCTGGATCTTACTGTTAGGCATTAAGATATACTGAAAAATAAAATTCCAACGTCACTGCCAAATTTACTGACGTTCTCTGTTCCAAAAGTTAGGGACCAACCCACTTTCCTAAGCAAGCAGCTTCCTTTTGCAACAAATGGTGCTGTGGCTTCTCTCAGATGCCTGTGAAGAGGCAGCTTTTGGATCATACTCTGCTGTAAGAGCTTTACTGATGCGGTAGAAATGAAAAGTCTAGAGTGGGTCCTGAACAGACACAATCAAAAGCTGAGAAGCAGCTTAGTGGAAAGTGCAGAATTTTCAAGAGTGCTAATGGCAGGAAGTAGGCCTATTGTAAACATGGACAATATTGTAAAATGGACTTGTATTCATTTTAGTAAAAATGCTGCTAATGATTTGAAAGCAAATTGTCATGTTTTGACAATTTAAATAAAACATATTTCTGAGTGAAAGCACTAGTATAAAGAACACAAGCACAGGGTCTGTTCAATGTGGAAAACATGCAGATGACTTGTCTAATGTGGCACTTCTGCTCACAATACCTCAGTCTGTCTTCCTATGCTGACAGTGGGATATGCTTCCTAAGAACTGCAACAGAATCAAGGACATCACATGAACACATTTCGCCCTGCATTGAACTCTTAATATTTTTATAAGGATTCATAAGACCTGTCAGTGGTAAATCAGAAGTGTCTGCCTGCCTTCTCCCCACTGATGGGAGAATGCCACACACAAAGAAAGAGCAGTCACCTCCAAGCTGTTCTGAAAGTCAAGGACCTTGTAGCTTGGTTATTCCAGGAGGAGGGTATCATTAAAAATGGGGTTCCATTTCTCAGTAAAGGGCTCCTGTTATCTTACCAGGCATAATGGTCTTCTGGCAGTGAAAACACTTGGATGAATACTCATCAGAGTAGCACTCAGTACACAGCAAGACCTCGTCCTTGGCAGCAAATGGTTTCTCCACGAGTGAGCGACAGCACTTGGCACACCTGAAGCACCCCTCATGCCAGTGGCGGCCTTTGTAGGCCAGATCCTTGGAGAAAGTGACTTCATGTTAGTGAAAACATTTATTTACAGTGCTTCTACCCTTCAGTTCTTTCCAGAACTAAAACAAAAAAAGGAAAAGCATTGCAGTGGAGGATCCAACAGAAGTGTGCTCAGGAAAGTGCAGGTGCTCAATGTCACTGTTGGGACATTGTGACTGTTGTGACATTGTGACTGTTGTGTAGATCTCTTTCAGAGGCCATTGGGAGCTGCTTTGGCAGAATGTCCTTCCTTATGTAACACAGAGGTATGTTTTTATTGGAAGAATCATGTTATATATTACAGGTGTCTTTCAAGGGGAAACAAGTGATCAACATTTTTAATGTGCACAGACCGTTGAAGAGGAAGCCCATATTCTATAGAATTTGAGGTGAACCTTATGTATTTTCAATGTTACTATTTCTTCTTCCAGCTGACATGACATAATTCTAATAGTTGTCAGAAAACAAGCAATTAAAATCTCATTGAGAACAAAATGACTATTAGTAATATTAAAAAAAATCATTGCTTTTGTTTACATCTGATATAAATCCTCCTGAAAGCTTGACAGAAAAAAGTTTAAGAGTCAGTGGGCTTAAGGGATGAAAGAGCTAATAATGTATATGTATATGTATATGAAAGAGCTTAACGATATATATGTATGAGATCCTGACTAAGAATTCAAAAAAAAGACCAAACAGCAGATTTAATTTTCCCACAGTTAGAAAAGCAAGGGAAAAATGCACCTCCAAAAACCTTCCCAGCTTAAAAAATAAACCCTTCCAGGGCTCTTTTATAAGTAAGAAACACAAAAGGGCACAAATCCAATCTCGTTGTTCTCCTTGATCATGCCCCTGCCTTTTAAAGAGCTAAAAATAAAAGAAATGCCATGCTTGGTTTCAGGAGGTGCTGAGCACTTAGCATTTTCATTTGCTTTGGTTAGCACTCTGAACCTTGCAGGAACCAGGCTGTCAGCCCAGAGCAGCCCCAGGCAAGGACTGGGTGAGGAGGAGAGGAAGAAACCAAGCTCTGTCCCCTTGGCAGAGGTGAGACAATCAGCTGTAGATCTCTGTGTGCCACTTTTCTAGATGTCTCTGGCCAGGTGCACTCCTTTGGCTGCTTTTTTCTTCTATTTTTTCCTTCCACTCAGTCCAAAGACATGGCTTTTTGTTTATGATCTTCAACAATAGTAATCCTATCACCAATTTAATTTTTGATTTTAAAGGTGAAATTAAGTGAACTCAATGTATGCGCTCTCCTGTTGAATCTGACGGGTGCTACATGTTCACCCACACTGTGGGTGAAATGCTGATGAGACTTTGAGGAGTGTCTTCATCCAAATCAGCATTTCCCTTGGATGATTCCTGTATGCAGACTATGTACCTTGATGTGATTGGGCTGGGAAAGCCTTCCAAGAGGTTTATTTTAATATCTTTGTGTCCTTTTATTTCTAAGGAACATAGGCAAAGAGAGCATGGGGAGAAGGTGGCCAGTACACACTGGACTTGGCAAAACAAAAGCTTTTTGATATGTTTCATTTGACCTTAAAATTCAATGTCAAGTATACGTCCCCTAAACTGAAGTATGGGGTACTAGAAACCCTGTCAAACACCACAGAGGAAATTGAATTATTAATTAATATTGTAAAAATTGGAGAGGTGAAAGGAAAGACAAGGTCAGAAACACTACCACTGATACACCATCTGTGAGATAAGCAAGGTAAGCATGGAATTAAGCAGAAATAAAAAAACCTTCATTTCCAAAAGAGAGAGAGAATATGCAAACTATAAACATGTTGTCTTCTCAGCTTGGTATCTGCTTGTCAACACCTACAGTAAAAGCAATTTATTCAATGCTCAAAATATTTTTTCAATGAGCACGTCTCAGAAATTCCAAGGTGTCAATCAACCTGATACACTGAATTACACCACCCACCCTATCACCCCCCCAGCACTGTGCAGCCTCTGCAGCCAGTGGGTGGCTGGAGGTGAAGGATGGAGCCCAGCTGGGGTCCACACAGCCTTGCTGTATGCTTGGGGTACATGCACGTGCAGATTTCCTCATCTTTGACCCCAGAGCTTTCCTATTCAGGGAAAACAGCGCTGTTTCACTCTGCTGTGTGGGGATGTACAACAGCTATGCTTAGGTCTCTTCAGTGATACAGGGATGTGCAAAGGGGTGGATATCACATCTACCACTAAAGAAATTGGATTTGTGTATAATTTAACAAGGAACAAAAAGAGCAAGCCAAATCTGTACCTTGGAGCTGCACTCAATGGGCAGCTTGCACTCTTGGCAGGGGTTGGCGTACAGGCTGTCGTAACACGGGACGCAGTAAGCGTTCTCATCCCTCAGTGCGTATTTCCTGCCACGCAGAGACTGCAGGCAGAAATGGCAGTCTGTGTGGCTGCTGGTCATCCTGCTGGGGCCCTCCACGTGCTCTGCAAAAGATGGGAAAATTGGGCAATTCAGTGCATGATGCTTGCTCAAATACTAAGTAATGCTGCATTACCTGTGGAAGTTGGACAGGCATTTCCTGGTCATTTGCAGTGCCCTGGATTTCTTAATGCTGGCTTGTTCAACAGTAAAATGGTAGCATTTAACAACACATACTGTGAATTGTATCACCTACATGATGGGGAGCAAGAGGGCTGCTTCAGCTTATTCTAACACTGTTTCAGGTCAGACACCTGAAAATGAAGCCAGCTTCACATTCTCTATGTAAAACTACTGGCATTATGAGCATTATGTACTGGATTCTGAGATATGGCTCATCCAGAAATTGGGTATTGAAGATAAAAGCAATAATTCAGAAATGAAACCAACTGAGGAGTTAAAAGGCCAAAGAGAAGAGGCAGGCACTTTGTAGTGTGTTCCTGACTTTCTCTTGATACTCCTGTCCTTCTGCTTGTTCCTTTCTTTTCTAAATACCCCCACATCTACCTGACCCAATGGAAGAAAGACAAGGGACTCCACGATATATGGCTGTTTTTTGCATTATCCCAACTGTGCTGCTAATATTTGGTGGCATTGTAAGGTCACACAAATTCCCCTGGAGAGCAATAGAGTGAAATATAAAGAAAAATAGACTAAATAATAAGTCAAGCAAAATCAGAACTCAAAGAAAGCTTTCCTTGTTGTTATTGGAAAAGATTGTTTTTTCTTACATATTTCTTTATTTCTATATCAGATTCCACATTGGCAGTACCAAAATAACGTGAAATAATTTATATTTCTGTGCCAGACAAGTGCAGGAAATACCACAAATCTATTGAGAATCAGTTGTATGAATTTCGCATCCCTCAGTTTTTCAGGCTAAAGAGGCTTGGACAAGCATCCAAACCTCGGCTGATTATAGATCTGCAATTGTGAATGTTTTAAGGATTGTGGAGATGAAGACTTATTTCAGTCTTCTTATTTCTGGTTGGATCATCATCACTTTGCTAAAATTGGGTCTTGATTCTTGGAAATGATGGAAGAAGAAACCAAAAAGTTCACAGTGAAGCAACCCCAAAAACATCTGCTGAGCTCATTGGGTTGCGCTCTTCATTAAACTCAAAGGGTGCAGCTGTAGCCAGCACCAGCAATCATGAATTTTAGAGGAGTTGAAAATGGCTGGGAAAGGTCTCCTAAAGTATCCTAAAATATCTCTCACATATCAGTGACTTTGGGCAGCTGAAATTTTTGCACTTTGAAAAACAGGGCAAATTAGTTCCTCTTAACCAGATGCATAGCTTGAGAGTAAGGAAGAACATACAGAGGACAATATTTGAGGGAGTTCTTAGCCATGACAAAGCCTCCATCTAGTCCACTTAGAGTTACACCCTCATACTTTGTTTTTATGCACTCACTGACGGTCTTATACCCGTGGTTCAGATTTAAAAAGGCATAAAATCTTTTTCTGGGTTTTTGCTTCAGTAAGCTCTAAACCAAAATGATGGTTTGAACTGTGAGAAAAAAACAATTACTGCAGGTTTCCACTGGCACCAGTGCATAAGGTCAGGCATTTATTAATTAATCTTTTCTGGGAGGTGTAGTACTAAAACAGTGGAAAGGGGACAGGGAGCAAGGCTGTCATACTAATTTCAGACCAAAAGTAATTACTTGATTGGAAAACTCGTTGCTCCTGTAAATTGAAAATCTTTAGAGTTGAATTGATATATTTTATTTCTTACTACCCTTAATATTACTACACCATGTCAGCCAACACAGGGTGTAGTAACGAAATAAAATAATCTGGAACTCAGGTCAGTGAGAAACATGCTTTCTTAAAAATATTTCTGATGTGTTTTATGTGATATCCTTGGAAAAATAATATAACAGGGCTTGAATCAGGACTTCCATTTCCTTAAGATCAAACAGAGATTTGAATGTGTAACAAAAAACCCCATTTATATGAGAAAATTACATCCATCAGCTTCAGCATTACAGAACATGACATAAAACCAGGCAGAGCTCAGTGCATTTAATGCACGATCACAGTCATGACCAAAGCCAAGGTTAAGTTTTGCGCATTTTTCTCATTGTGGGGGAAGAAGTATAAACTGGTGTCTAAGGACACAATCAAGGAGTGCTTGTCGTTAACTGTGCTCCATAGTCAAGGTCAGGCTTGAAACTAGGTTTCAGAGGATTTTCATTTATTTTTTTAGTGGGAATTAAAGTAATGAACTGCCTTGGAGGATAACCCTGAGTGAACCACCATTCTGATGCCCTCCCTGCTGGATCAGTACTCCTGATTCCTGACAGAGCTTCATCTCAGCCTAAAAGTGGCAACAGCAAAATCCAAACAGGGTATTCATGAAAAGTTTTGTTACTTATAGAGCATTTTTGTTGCACAAAGCTCTCCAACAAATATCTGTAGAAACATCTGTCCCATATCTGTAGAAACATCTCTGTTTTTCATTCTAATGAATGTCAATCAGGTTTTAAGTTATCAAAAACTCTGCATTCCAAGTAATTTTCTTTAAAAAGTGATTCTCTTTATTATTACTTTTTCCCCCCAGGAAGTCAGTCTGTCCCAGGAAGCCCAGGCTGTGTGCACAAATAAGACCCACTACTGTAATACTTCAGAACTACTGAATTTGCAATGCTATTGTCCTCCTAAACCCCTATATGGATATTGGAGCAAAGTGCTATTAGTCCTGTTCTACAGATGACAGTTGTTGCTTGAGGACTTAATAAAGTACCCCCAAGAACGGAGTCAAAGCCTGAGAGTGTCCTTGGGCTGCTTCTCTACTAAAATGCTCAAGTTGTCCCAAACTTTTCTTCAGACAGTCTTCAGAGTTTGACCATGAATCATCACAAAAGACTATGTTTGGGAATGAAGCAGCAATGGTGAGCAAAAGAACGAAGATTTTTTGCAAACCTTTTGGCAAAAGTATGGATAACCTTTGAGAACTACTTTTACCATTAGAAAATGCAACAAAAGGGCGAATCTCATCTCTCCCAGCACCGCTTATCCTTGCTCCAATAAATAAGTAATGGTACGAGGGCCACGCAGTGAAGTAGAATGTTTTTCTTGTGCTTTGATCCTAATCTCTAGAGAAATATGTTTACTTTAAGTTTGCTGGAAGCTAGACTTTGTGTTTTGAAGGTCAGCTAAGAAATCTCTGGAGATCTGATGTTATTCACTCTCATGGAATGAAACGCTGACTCCAGCATTCCAGCTGCTAACTCGACTCCTAGGCACAGGGAAAGACTGCAGTGTTGCCATTCCTTGGGAAAAGATGATTTTATTATTTAAATTGGAACATCTTAAATTGGAAGCTAAATACTGTTGATTTTTATGTACCTAGTCAGCAGGGGTATGAGGCATCATTTTTAATGTTAAGAATATCCCAAGGAGGTGCAGAGAGATGTTGCCAAGGACGTGAGGATATTGTAATTGGAGTCCCTGGGGTCAGATTTGAGAATGCAGCAGTTTCATGGAGTGAATGATAAAAGAGATGAAAATACAAAAAAGAGAGCTGGCTAGTCAGCCTGCTGTTAAAGCAGATTGAGATAGAATTTAGCTACAACAAATTAGGACAGGGACTTTCTGGAGAGTCAAATTATTTCCCATAAAATGCAGAGCACTAGAAGACTTCCAGTGAAGAAAGCTGTAGGAACATGGTTGTGAAGTTGTGAATCCTGATAGACATGGAACCATCAGGAAAAGAATGCTTTTTTCCTCACTGGAGCCAAAAAGCAGAGCCAGAAGGTTCATACATGTTTCAATAATTAATCTTGATATTTTCTATAAATATATGTTAATTTCCCTCACACATACAAAAATAAAAAACCCAGAAACATTTGTACTACTTAGAAATCAATTAGTGTATACATATGGATGTAGTTATGTACATATAGATAAAAATTTTCTATCTTTCACTTTGTGGAAATTCTAATAGACTATTTATCAATCTAAATATACCTGCCATTGAACTTCATCATCTTTTTCTTTAAGAACATACAGTTATTGGAAAAAGGCTTCTTCTTAGAGAGGCATAAAGGAAAAAAAACAGATGGGAAAAAAAATCCTTTCAACAGCAGTGAAGGATAAGAAAAACAATTTGATATTTTATGATATCAAAGCCGCCCTGCATCCCTGCAGGCTGCCCTAGGCATTGTTCGTTTTCAGGTAAGTGCATGTTTTAATCTTCTAATGCAATTTTCCTTATTTGCATGAATTTTCTGGCTTCATTTTGCCTATTTCTATTTTTGTCTCATGCATTTACATATATTAAAGGTTCTGTAATATTTGCTTTTCTAAAAATAGTTAGAGAAGCAATAGGAACTGGGGGCATGTATTACAGATCAAGTTAAGCCAAGAACCTACAGGAAAGAAGGCACAGATACTAACTCTGAACTATCTTATCTCTGTGGCACAGGACAGTAATACAGCACCAGGTCCTGGAAGCATCTGAGTGAGTGCAGAGCTCTCACTGCTGAAATTCTCCTTTAAGCAGCCAGGACAGATGCCACAAGTGACACTGTTTTGGAGGGGTATGAAGGCAAAGCAGATATTTTAGAGGTTGATCTGGTAATTTGTACTGAATTGTACTGTGTTTACACACCCCTGACTACAAGCAAAAAGGGCAAGAGCTATGGCTTAACTAGGGAATCAGGCATCTCAGGAATTTTGTAATTTTTTCCTTAATTGGTATTGCTGTCTGCTTTGTTTACACCGTACAAACTCAAATGGTGTAGTCATCCAAATTCTTCCCTTTTTTTCTCTTCTGAAATAATTTTACCCACATTTTTTACAGGTTTTCACACAGTCTGGTAGAGCCAGAGTTTTCTCCTGTGTCATTATGGAGCTCATTCCTTTCTGACTACTGTCAAATGTATGGAATAAAATGAAGTGATGAAATAATTCAGCTGTGCACTGTTGTATCTTTCAATGTAAAATCCTGTCGGTATTCTTAGTTGTACTTCCCATATTGAACCAG